TTCCGTGCTGCCAGGGCTCCCATCCACTTTTGCTTCCCCTACTAATTCTTCCCTGTTTGTGAGCAGCAGGTCAAGAAAAGCTCTGCCCCTAGTTGGTTCCTCGAGCACTTGCACCAGGAAATTGTCCCCTACACTTTCCAAAACCTTCCTGGATTCTCTGTGCACTGCTGTATTGCTCTCCCAGCAGATATTGGGGTGATTGAAGTCCCCCATGAGAACCAGGGCCTGCGATCTAGTAACTTCTGTTACTTGCCGGAAGAAAGTCTCGTCCACCTCATCCCCCTGGTCTGGTGGTCAATAGCAGACTCCAACCACGACATCACCCTTGTTGCTCACACTTCTAAACTTAATCCAGAGACTCTCAGGTTTTTCTGCTGAGGAACCACTTGCCTGGAGAGGCCCAGCCAAGCCCTCTCCCTGCCACTGTCATTCCCCCCTGACCAGCTGAGGCCTGGAGTGGCCAGTATTAATTTTTAAAATCCTTGCAGGCACCCACTTCTGCACTCAGACTGACGGAGTGGGGATTCAGCCTTGACAACATCAGTCGTTGGGGCTGTCATCTTTCTCCTAGTACTAAATGCCCTTGGGAATAAATATTACACGGCTTTGAAGGAAGAGCAGCCTGAGATGCAGAAAAACAGCAGATTGGGTCCTTCCAAGGAAGTGACAGTTTTGGGAGGGACTGCTCCTGTTGGGTTGGAAGGGACAGACACGTTTTGATACATGGCACAGCAGGGCAGGGATAGGAGAATTCAAACAGCTGTTGAAGCAGGTCTCACAGCTGAGCCTCAATTTATCTCCTCGGTGGGCCAAACATATTTTGCGACATACCTTGCTTACCAGCTACAATTGGACATTTTAAATGTATACATAGATGGTTCTGACATCATCATAACATCTGATCCAAAGGTGCAAAAATTAGAAATTCAAGTCAAGCAAATCATTATTTATTGGGTGATTATGAAACAATAACTCCATGATCCAAGGACTTTCTTCAGTGACAGACCTGGAAACAAACAAATTACAGAGCCAGCCAAATTGAGCAGTGTAAGGGCAGCGTCTCTGCTACAGCCAGAAATATCACAGCAGGACAAAGCGTCCCTGCAATGCACATGCAATGCAGCCCCTCCAGTGCACAGGGCTCCTCATCAGCAGGTGTCTGGAAAACATGCTCCATAGCTTGTAAATTAAGGCGCTTTCTGAGGTGCTGGGATCTGCAAGTCACAGCCCAGCCTGTCCATGGGCCTGCTTACAAATCCACCTAGAAGGCAGAGTGCAATTCATATCATTCCAAAAATTCCGGTTGATTGGATGGATGTGAACACAGTCTTCTCTGCCTCCTATCCCCTGATCCCAGTTGTCTGGCTGATTCTGCGCCCAGAACCTGCAGATCAGAGTGTTAATGTCTCAGGGGAGAACCACAGCCAATTCCTGAGCTCAGTTCTGCTCTGTGGACTCTGTTGTTGGCAGGGGACCAAGACACCAAGCAATGACGCGGTGAAGCGATCCACCCCCCGGCCACCCCTGAGAGTTCTCTACAGCTCTTGTGGCCATGGTAACGAAGGGCTTCTGACGGCTGGGGGTAGCAACTGCCCTGCGCCTGACAGGCCAGCAAAGAGCCCAAGTCAGTCTGTGGCTCCAAATGCTGACAGCAGCAACTCCGATCTCAGTGCCCAGAACCGAAGCACGTGGCACAGCACGTCCCAGGAACCCCCGAGATGGGAACGCAGGAACGGGAAGAGAGGGCAGCAGGGGTCAGTCATTAACTTCTCATGGACCTGCTTATGGGCCTTGTCCACAGCCCACTGAGGTCACTGCACCGACTGCAGCTGGCTCCGGCCATGCCCCCGGGCCCACAGCCTCCCCTTCCCCAGCCTGACAGAGGGGAGAGCGCAGTGCAGTCCCAAGGAAAGCGTGAACCTGCCGCTCACTCCAGACTCACCTGGCTGTACTGACTTGACTTGGGGCCAGATCCTCAGCTGGTGTAAATCCCTGTGGTTCATTCAAGTCAATGCTGAGTTTCCCCAGGGGAGGCTCTGGCCCTGGGTCTCAGTGGCACTGAACACACGCTCCATGTTTAGGCTCCTGCTCTCAGCAAAGGGGCATTAGCAGAAATTCCTGAGAGGATTCATTGCTGTTGTGGCAGCGCCCTGGGGCCTCCCTCAGGATCGGGCCCACTGTGCCAGGTGCTGCATAGACACCAGGGGCCGTACAGACGCTGCCCGAAGGAGCTTGTGACCAAATGTGTAATAAATAATCACTTCTCTCAAGCTTTACTCACCGCCTGCTTGCGTCTGCTCTGTATTCTGTGCCATCCACCCAGCGCCAGCTGCCTTCTGTCCCCCGGTCGGTGAGTCCAATCCAGTGACCTTCTCCCTGGGTCTCCCTGGAGAGAAACTCCTGCACAACACAGTTTGCAGCATGTCCAGGTCACCCAAGAGAGGCTGCAGGATGCAGCCGCAGCTGCCTGGGCTGAACAGATTTGGGGGGAGAGGAAAGGGCGTCTGGTGGTGTGAGCTGGGCACTGGACAGCGGGAGACATGGTGTCCTGCCCCCAACACTGACAGTGACTGGCTGGGAGACCCTGAGGGAGTCCTGGAGCATCTCTGTGTCTGTGTCTGCATCTGTATCTGCCTGGGGCTACCAGCAGCGACCTGTCTCAGAACACTCCCCCCACAACCCCCTCAGAGCTGGGCTGCAGCAGTGACTGACGGGCACCTCAGAGTTCACACCAGCGCCCTGCCCTTGGAGGAGGCAAAGCTCGGAGCAGAGAACTGGGTGCAAAGTCTAGCCCTGCCGGAGGGTGGGATTTTCCTCCTCACAGAGTGCCGCAGAGGCCTGGGGTGAGGGCTACAGTGGACACGTGTGGAGAGAGGATTATCTGAGAGGCACATGGCCCCTTGCACACAAGCCTTCCAGATACAGGCTTCTAGATTGTCCAGCGGGAGCTCAGGCCTGGAGAGAGGGATCAAAGCGGGTCCTCCCTGGGAAAGGTCATTGGGTTTGCAGGAAATGCTTCATTGGAAGTCTGGAAAATCAGAAATGAGCCTGACCCCATATCCCCCTCCCCCGACACCCCAGACTCTGGGAAGTCCAGATCCTGGCACTGTTCCTCTGCCCGTCTCTGAATCCCCTGAGTCACGTTCCAAGGCTTGGCATCCTCTCCGATGGTTTCCATCCTCAGCTACCGCCTTCCACCACCTTCTGGTATGAAACAAGGCACTAACCCATTGTCCAAGCCCCTAGGAGCTTCGTGCACTCACCTGTTCCGCCTGGGAGGAGACAGAGGTCAGGTGCGAGTCCTGAGACACACAGAACCGCTCGGCCTCATCCCAC